GATTTCCCTGTCCTACTTATGACGGCCGCCCGAAGGGCGTCATACGGATTTTCCTTAGGAATATCTTCCAACAGATCTTCAACTTCTCTTGCTACATCACAAGGAGGATGCTGGACAACATAGGAAAACAGGGTGACTTGGGAAGCGATGAGTCGTGTGGCAAAAACAGCCTCAACCCGGTGAAACCATACTCTGGGGTTGCGTGGATTGTAGTCTGGCAAACGTATGCTAATCGCATTCTCAGCTAAATCCGCTGAATCAGTGTGCTTCCATAATTACCGGCCGAAAGAAACAAAATTACGACGACTTGAAAGAAAAAGCTTTCAAAAAATATCTAGAAATACTCGGGCTCAACAAATTTGTAGTGGTCTAGCTAGCCAGGTGTGTGGCAAAGAAATAAAAACAATAACGCTAGGTTGGATATGCAATAATAAAGAAGTCAGAGGAAGCAGATTCACTAAAAAATGTTCTCTTTAAAATAGTTCGTCGTTGGCCCAGATCAGCGAGTAAACAATAATCCAATTATGGTGGTAAGGGGTCTCCTCCTGAACAGTTCCCACATACAGTAGATTCCGAAGATAGTCTGAAATGTTTTGATAACAGAGTTAGCACACGAGACTCGCGAATGAACGCTGCAAGCGCGAGCGAAATCAGAGGAGAGAGTTGAAGCACGTGACCACGCTTGCATTAAGTGAAATTGTACAAGTGCGCGTTTTTATAGTTTTTCGGATTCAAACGTAGTGTTATAATGGAAGTAAAACAAAGGTACAAAACGCCGTCTGTCTCACCCTTTTGCACGCAGAACGGGGGCACTTCGAAGGAGGCAGCTCGCAGTCTACTGTATCTGTGTCCGCCATCACCCCACAATAACAGTAAAACAAAGGTACAAAACGCCACACGTCTCACCCTTTTGCACGCAGAACGGGGGCACTTCGAAGGAGGCAGCTCGCAGTCTACTGTATCTGTGTCCGCCATCACCTTCTCCACAATAACACAGAATCGCCTACTTTTTGTGGCTTGCTGGACTGTCCGGCAACTCTGTATCGATCCCTGGCTTCCTGCTCTGTCCACTGTGGTTTATCAAAAGGCACGATAATTTCAGACAGCATTCGATGGAGACAGGAAAACTGTTACAACTGTATTTATAGGGCAGTCACAGAATGTTCCGCAAGGTTGTGCCAGAATCCCCGCGACGGAGAGGGAAGCGTCGAGCTAGAGGTGCTAGACCCAGATTGGCTGGCATTCTGACCAATCAGGGCATGCCTTCATTTAGTCCGTAGCCTGCATGTGGCACATCCATCCGAATGGTGGTGTTCAGCTATTAGGGATGGCTGGCCTCTGGTTACTACTTCACTCACCCATTCGTCTGAGCCACACAGCCTACTCCAATATCAGTGGGACGCAAATTGGGAATCTTCAGAAATTGCCGTTGAGGGTCCTGATGACACAGTCCAAGGACTCTCGCTCTTGATCGGAGACGCCGCCATCTCACTCCCTCCAAAATCCCCACGGGCCCTGCGTGATAGAAGCAAGGGGTAAGAACTCCAGTCTATGAGGTGGTAGACGTTCCCATTCAGCCAACCACCGTTGAATTTTATTTCTACCAGTGTTCCCCTGAGTAGTGGGATCTATCGTAGCGGATTATTGTCGAGCACACTATGAGCTACACTGAACACCGTTTCCGAGATGGATCAGTGGTTAGAGCGCGAATTTTGCGACCGGAAGGTCCGTGGTTCGAACTCGACCACTACCTCTCGACTTCCCCTGTCTAGGTTTGGGCAACCTGGCAGTATCCCCGCCCTCGTGCTTCTTTCGGGTGACATGGAAGCCAGGCTCCGAAAGGGTATTACAGCTGAATGGTTATTATTTGTTATTACTGTTTCCGAAACGCAAGAGATTCTGCTTCAAGAATGTGCTGCTCACAGGGAAAAGCTGGACGAAAGAATTGGACCCCGGTATTGAAGTGGACGTCAGCTACCTCACCAAGGCCTTCGATGAGACACCACGCCACGTCTTGTCAGCGTGACTGGCTGCCTACCATGGTTCAGGTTCACTACTGTGATGGGTAGGAAACTATCCACGCCAGCGAACAACAACGGTTAGAGTGTAAAAAAAATCAGATTCCAGGCTGTGTACCACAAGGCTTACCGCTGAGAAACCCCACTAGTTGTCAGAAGGTTTCTGCACAGTTCGCTGTACACCTTCATCGCTTACCGCTGAGAAACCCCACTAGTTGTCTGCACAGTTCGCTGTACACCTTCATTTGACCGGATTTATGGAAACACAGGCCACGAAGATTGTTTAAGACCTTCAAGGGCATTCTCCTCTGGCCCAGAATATGTAGGAGATGTGATCTGTCCACACAAACGAAGGCTCCTCTAACGCAGAGAAAAATCGTACTTGTCGATCGGCGCTATAAGTGGCGCTGCTGAAGCACTTGAAGTAACTTGACGATGTGGTCCGTGCATCCCTGTTAATCCTGCTTGGTGCTCTCGGACCAGTGTCTCAGGTGCCTAAGATAGCCGTCGCAACAAGGGGAGCCGGTGTCCGTATTGCGACTGGGGCGAGATGGCCCAAGTGGTTAGAGCGCGAATTTACTGACCGGAAGGTCTGTGGTTCGAATCCGACCTCCGCCACTCGACTTTCCCTGTCTAGGCTTGGGCAACCTGGCAGTATCCCAGCCCTCGTGCTTCCTTCGGGTGGCATGGCAGTTAGGCACCGGAAGGGTGCTACAGCTGAACGCGTTCTTTTCTTTTCTTTCTTTGGAACAGTCGATCCGTGCATTTTTCTGAACATGGATATGACTAACGAAGACGAAGTCAAGGAACACTTTCTGTTGAATCAACTGGCCACCGTCATACCCTTCTTCGGCATGCACTTTGAAGTGCAAAGTCGTGCATCAGAACTTGCAGTCTCTGAACATACGCCTTAAAACTTAAGGCGAATCACTTGAGGTTGTGGAAAATTTTATATATGTCGGTGGTTTCATTATTTCTTACGGAAGTGTGCGTCGTGAAGCCAGTGCACGAATCTGAAAGGCCTGAATCACGTTTGCTGACTTGTCACTTGTGACCTCAAAAAGGCATGTCACTAGGTCTCAAGAGTTGCATGTGCCAGGCTATAGTAATGACTGTGTTGTTGTATGGTTGGAAAACATGGCCTCCGAGGACATATTGCGGGAGGCGTCTTGGGGTTTATAACCACCAATACCTTACAAGTGTTGCTGATGTTGGATGGCGTCATCGGTTTGGTAACGAGAAAATTAGGAGGCAGGTATTTGGTTGTGCAGCAGGTACTTCAGTCACGACTCGGTGGTTAGAGGGTGAATTTACTGACCAGAAGGTCCGTAGTACGAACCCGAACTCTGCATCTCGAGTTCCCCTGTCTAGGCTTGAGCAACCTGGCGGTATCCCAGCCATCGTGCTTCCTTCGGGTGGCATGGCAGCTAAACACCTAAAGGATGCAACAGCTAAACAATTGCTTCAGCTGAGGAAACATTCATATTCATCAACTACAGTTGCTCGGCCATGTGCTACGCATGCCGAAACAGCGTCTACCGGTACGATTGTTTTATTCCGCGTCTTCTTCAGAAGGCCTTGAAAGAGACTACGAAGTTTTAGTGTTGTTGGTGCAGTATGTCTTCTAGGATGGCGTTCCTTGTAGCCCTTCTCCGCTTGGCTGGAGATATTGGAAGAGGTGGCTCAGTAGGCGGATGGCGTTCCTTGTAGCCCTTCTCCGCTGGGCTGGAGATATTGGAAGAGGTAGCTCAGTAGGCAAATTGGCAGCATTCCAGCCCTCGTGCTTCTTTAGGGTGGCTTGACAGTTAAGCACCGAAAGGGTGCTACTGCTGAACGCTTTTTTGTACAGGAAAGGATAGATAATTGGTGGCAATTGCGGAATATAAGTAGCTCGGGTGCACTGCTTGGTTGTTGGTCTGCTCACCGAGCTCGGCGAACCACTCTAGTAATTAAGTTGACCACATAGCACGCAGATTCAGATAGTGATTTGCGTTCAGGTCAATTGGTTCTGTCGGAAGACATGTAAGGAGTTGGATCATTCCCTAGTTTTTGTTTGTGTTTTGGCTTTTCTCAGCGGCTGAGAAAACGATTCGTCACTATGATCTTCATCGCCCACAAGATTCGGTCGTCAAAGAAGTCTGTCAGTGCCAACTGTTCTTCATCGCCCACAAGATTCGGTCGTCAAGTCTGTCAGTGCCAATTGCCCTTACAAATTACGGACACAATCAAACCGGTCGGCCGAAATAAGACTGCTACGAAATTCAAAGCGCTGTGAATGCGGCATTCGGTTGTGCATCCCGAAACAAAACTACGGCCGGAATCAAGTTGGATCGCACAGCAATCCTTGTTTCTGATCATGGAAAGGATGCTGGTTCCACCAGGACGATGACGAGAGAATATCTGAAATGGCATCCGACTCGCAGTCGCAAGGTTGACCGAGTCCAAGTTATAGGAAAGTGGCGGTGATTGGAAACGGTCGAACGCCTCTCCAATTTATGTTTGCAACCTCGGGTCAAGAAAGCTGCCGGTCAGTGAAGTTATTAGTGAGGAAGACGGCTCAAAACTCCATTCCGATTCCCTCCACATACCCTGGTGGACAGAATATGAACTGGCCTGAGTGACTCAGCAAAACGATGAACGTACTAGCTTCAAAATGGAACGTGTACTGGCTGGTCCCAACAGAAGCTGTAGTCAAGAGCGAAGATTTAACTTTTGAGGCACACCAAAGCGCTTGATCCCGTGTGTCTGGTTCCCGACTTGTTTAGGGATGGAGGAGTCGTTCACAATCTCACAAGACCGAAGAATTTGCCATATATTTGACGTCGTTACTATCTTCAAAAAGGTGTTTGTTCTGAACATGAGAATCATCGCGTTGTCAGCTTAGTTGTCATCGCTTCTGAGTTTTTCACAGGCGTCATTTTACGCAGGTTCGTCAGTACTTGCGAACGACAGAGCTGTGATAACCAAGCTGGAACCCACCCGGATCTTGGACGCGTTGACCAGATCTTTGCCTCACGACAACTTGAACGTCGTCATACTTAGGTCAACAGTTGTTTTCCTCTATCCAAAGGTAGCGTTCGTCTCGGCCGGTTGCACTGATTTGTGGCGATCTCTGTCCCCCACAAGTTTGTTGGATGTCATTTTCCTTCAGTTCTTGTAAGCCAACACCCATGGAAGTCTACGGTAGTGTTGAGCGGGCCTGCTCATTATCACATTCCCTTCGCAAATTTGTAGTCGAATTAAGGTCGTTATGTCTTCTATCTTTCACTCGCGATTACAAGACTGGGCGAATGCCCTACCGAAGCTGGTAGTGGCATTAGAGTCACCAGCAATAGGGACAGGTCTGCCAATTTGCGTCACAAATGTCAGCATTACCGACGGAGTGAATTCTAGAAGCACTAGGACTCGTTATGTTTTCCTTCGACTCAAGGGCTTGTGTGGTTGACATGATATTTATCTCCCAATTAAATATAGGGCCTAGACGCCGCAGTGCGTCCGGTATGTAGAGCCTCGTCATTGTGCGCCGAATTCAAGAGAGTGTTTGACTGTCGTTGCCTTCGAATCATTTCACGTGTATCATCAAACGAGCAGTGTCGAATTGCGGTGAATAGCTTTTGACAACAAATCGACCGTTCAATCCATTCGGCTGCACGCACTTTTCTGACACGGTAACGTGCTCCGTATTTCAGGTGAGAAACTGACTTGCCATGCCCTGTTTGCTGAGGCAGGCTCCGATCGAAAGATACCAAAGGTGAAAAGTACATTAGGACCGAGCATTGAAAGCACAAAAGGGCCTCGAGTGCACTGGTACGTATCGTCTACGAGGTTGGATCGTAAAAGACTGACCACATGAATGACCGGATGTACTCATCGACATGGCGGTGTTGTACGTGTTTTCTTTTTTTATATTTTGCCTCTAGAAGTGTCGTGTGGTCCGTATTTTTTAAACTACTCAATGCCACAAGCTGTGACGACCCGAATCACCACACACACTATCGCGGTTCATTGTTTTAAAACTGAGCTAAAAATTGGTAGCACTTACTGATACACGGAGGTGACGCAACAATTGTTGCTGCAGCTAGGATAACGCCCACAAAGTTACGTAGTGTGAGCGGAGAAGCTTATGTGGAGTGACGATATAATCAGGGTTGCGCAAGCTCGAGAGCGGTGGAAGACGAGCACTATTATAACGAGTAACGTTGCGAAAGAAGCAGTGGTTTGATTCTATGTTTTTGTTTCCTGACCAATTTTACCTCATCAGTATTTTTTTCATTTTGGTAGCTATTCTGATTGGAATGAACGTACCTAACCAATCGGCCGAATTCGCTTCCCACATTTGTGGCATCTGTTTCAAACAGTCACACTACATATGTCCTCGTTGTGGAATTAATTACTGTTCACTAGCTTGCTACCGAAGTGAGAAGCACAACCAATGTTCAGAAGCGTTTTACCGCGACTGCTGCATGGATTCGATGCGGAATCGCTTCTCAGACTCTAACAGCCGCAGTCGCATGTTGGATATACTGCGCCGCGAGGCTGATGCATCAAAAACCATTTATCGCGACACCGATGACTCACGCGTCTCTAACGACCCGGAAGACAATGAATCTACTGAGTCAGAAGTTGGAAGTGATGATCAGGACCCAAGTAAGCGGTACGTTTCCTCAGGACATCTCATTGTAGTAACTCGATTTCTTAAGTTCGGCTTCGATGTATACCGACATCTACAGTTAGTTCTCTATATTGGACGCATCAGCTTCCGAGACTTTTCGTTTTTCGCATAAACGTATTTACCTATCATTTCAGTTGCTTTGACTAGGAGCGAGATGGTTCAGTGGTTAAAAGGCGAATTCACTGACCGGAAAGTTCGTGGTTCGAACCCGACCTCTGCATCTCGAATTATCCTGTCTAGGCTTGGGTAACCTGGCATTATCCCAGCCTTCATGGTTCCTTCGGGTGGCACGGGAAGCTAGACATCAAGATTTCACAGTTGGACGATCATTAGTTCCTTTGAACCACCATGTTTCATAGGCCACTTATGCAACACATGTTCGTCTTTCTAACTAAATGTGTTCGGCAAATCTACTGAATTATGCACGGAGTTAACACTTGATAACACATCGCCGAGGTTTCGGGAACGGGTGGCAATGATGTGGCGTGCATGGAATCCATGTGTAACATGCTGCAGCCAAAAAGGAACGCGACGTTTCCGACTCCTTTCGAAGTGGCACAGAAGTACACTGCGACGTTTGGGAAAGAATATGGTAATAACGCTTGTGATCTCTACGGCCATTCCGTCACCTATGCGATGAAATTGTAAGAGATATCCGCCAACCGGTAGCAATGGCTGTTAGACAGTCAGTCTGTCGAAGTTATCTAATCGGTCCTACGGAACCTTGGGGTGGGCCAGTACTAGATGTTTTTCCTTTATTCGTTTTCACTACGAACCTACCGAAGGTAAACGCCTCACGAAAATAACCTATTTGAAAATATCCATTCTCTTCAACGACAGCTTTGTAGATCTCGACTTGAATTGTGACACACTGGATACGAATCTTGTTTGGTCGAAGCTCCCAATGCAGGAGAAGAGGGAATTTTGTCGTCTGATTAACAGCGGAGAAATAAAGAACTATGTGCCTCTATGGGTTCCGTGGTGGCATGTCAAGAACGATGCAATTGTTGAGGTGGACCATTCGGTGGATGTCACAAACAATCCCTCTCTCCACCGGTTGCCACCGCCACTACGGCTCAGTGAAATTTTTCCCTCTGGAAAATTACCACATCATTCCGTCGTCTTTGTGTTGCTCGATGTACTCCTCGGATACGCCTTCATTGCTCGGTAAGTGCTAGAACTTCCGCTAGTACAAGGTTTCCTTGCAGTTTCTTCACGTTCTATTAGAGTGAAAAACCACTGGACCCTTCATTGCTCGGTAAGTGCTAGAACTTCGGCTAGTACAAGGTTTCCCTGCAGTTTCTTCACGTTCTACTAGAGTTCCGGCGCTCAGTGTCGGTAATAAAGCACAAAATGGAACGATCGTCCTCTACACAGTGAGCTCAATACCGGCTACAGCTATCTCCTACCAATCAGTGAATTTGCCGTGTTTAGTAGGGGTGGTAATAAAGCACAAAATGGAACGATCGTCCCCTACACAGTGAGCCGTGTTTAGTAGGGGTACTGCAGATTAGCCGCAGCTCCAGAAGCTTCCACTCCACAATGCACGTATCCCTGCGGTAGTAGGAGACAGGTGGAGATCTGTTAAACATAATGATCTCGATGCTAGTACCACCCGCTATATCCCTCGGATCAATTTCCCAGTGATCGCTACTGAGACCTATAGATTTTTTAAACGCCTTTGACTACTCATCCTGCTAGAAGAACGAGTCACTCTCCTGTTGTGTGCTGGTAATCAAATTTACCTAGCCTTTTGTAGCAGCGTGCTAGAATGTGAGTTATCGGATGTAAACAGCTAGTTGTCCACTGGGTGAAGACCAGCACCCGAGCCAGTCCTAACTCATGGTTTATCTGACTCCGAGATAGCTGAATGGTTAAGACGCGAACTTACTAACCGGAAGATCCGTGGTTCAAACCCAACCTTTGCATTTCGACTGCTCCAGTGTAGCCTTGGACAACCTGGCGGTATATTATCCCTCGTTTTTCCTTCGGATGAAATGGCAGCTAGGCATAGAAAGGATGTTACAGTTGATCGATTGTTTGCTTCTATTACAAGGTCTCTCCAAATAAATCAATAAGTAGTCACCAGTTCTTTCAGGGATGGATAACCTGGCCGATAGGGGTTACCTAAGCACATTTTATTCATATTGAAATCATACCCTTCTGTCAACCACGGTCTTTCTGAGTGATGTGTTCACAAGGTGCACGCTCAATAAGGGACTAAATTTCAGGCAGTATAACCAATGAAATCACTAGTTTCTCCCAAGATGGTTTTGAAGTGTTGCTAAGCCAAGGGTTTGAATGTGTAGTCCCTGGTGCAGGGACATAAAATACGACGACGTTCCGGAAGTAATTTTCGCATGAGACGTCGTTGAATACGGGTACGAAGGGACAAATGGTAATTTGAATTCAATAAAGACATTTTTATACTGATTAAAGAAGAGATTACTGGCGCGGTTGTCCGCACTTGATGTATTGCTCGAATAAAGCTATCTAGCTAATCGGCTGCACAGACGTCTGAGATTCACTGTAATGAGACAGCGAATCAGATACACTAGCATTAAAAAACGGTAACTTACAAACTAAATCTGCTATTTTATTGTAGATTGTACAACGGCGATTACATGGACCTAAAGCACGAAGCTGCCTCCAACTTTTGCCAGATTGTGGCGTCATTCGGCTGTTCCCGTATTTCAAAGTCGCCACCGAAGGAAAAGAGCAGAGACACATCTCGAACGGTGATTCTCAGCCCAATCAGTTCGCGAATTCCTCCGACTTTCTCTTCCGTATCACAAGTGGTCGGGTCTGTCCAGATACGGTTGTGTCAGTTGAAATTCCCGTGCAGTCCTCAAACAATGGTCGTTCTTTTGGAGGACGCTGTGGCCTTGACAAGGACGGTTAATAACGTTGGTCATGCTCTAGAGGACGCGCATATCTTGATCAATTCCGTAAGGTCCGGTATAGATACGGAAGGTCCAACCGAACATGAAGCGCCAAAGAAGCAGTTGCTGAACGCTCATCACAAACTTGCTTTCCTACGGAGTTGCTTCAGTCTGCAAGACCCGACTGCTGTGGAATGGCAAGCCACCGTATTCCCCACCTTTCAGTCCCAGTTATCTGTAGAATTATGCAAGCAGATAACCAGCTTTAGCACAGAGAACTCCAGACCTGTAGAACCAGCCGCAGGGCCCAACTGGCGGCAAATGATTCGTGACAGTAAAGAAAGGGTGATTACCCAGTTGATGTAAATACATACTTATTATTATACAAGTATGGCGTTGTCACAGCTCTCGCACGGGTGCGATTCTCTGCGACTGACGTCATTTACTGAAGTATAGTACATAGAAAATCGGTACGAAAAAATAAATATTGTACAATAATCACAAAGTTTGGACGACACTGTTCCAACATCGATTTCCAATAGCGTGTTCCACCAACCAGTCTGATCCGAACTCTTCGTAGGATTGACGCGTGAGATAGATATTTCCCGGTGCGGTTGTGGCCCATCGACGAGCGCCACGCCAAGCATCTAACCGTGGATCGTCTGCAAAGTGAGGGTTGCATAAGACGGACGGTCGATTAATTGACGTCAGTGTCTCTAGTTTGTTGGTAATGGGTAGGAAAGCTAATGGTAAACAGCAATTGTTCAGGGCATGGAAAACAGCACTCTCCTCGGCATACGTAATACATGGCCTAACGAACGCAGCTTCTGGTGCTTGACACATTCCCAATGGAACCTCCAGTTGCATGACCAAAAACTAGCTTTCTAATTGCCTCAGTACGGATCCTCAGACACCAACCTACACGAGCTATAGTCCTGTGACAACAGTTGTCGAAAACCTGAAGACGTCTCAGTTCCGCTGCTCTGACAGGCCAAGTCTAAGCCATACAACAAAACAATCCATATTGTAATCTGATACACACATCCCTTGAGATTCACGGGGGTGAGATGGCTTAGTGGTTCGAACACGACCTCTGCCAAAAGGCGACGAAACACAAGTGACGCCAGCAGTTTCGTTACAAACGGGGGTTAAGCTGACCCTCCTGTGGTCACCACACTCACTACGAGTCCCTATTTTGAAAATGGGCATTATCACCTACCTACCCAGTTGTCTGGGAGTGTCTCTTGTACCCAAATGTAGGTAAACAGATCAGACAAGTACTGGCTGAGGATTTCGCTCCTATCTTTGAACAATGCGGGTTGGAGGTAATCCGGAACCAGAACCTTGGTGGTGCTTGAGAGAACATATGCAGTCATAGACCTCCGAGGCCGTAGGGCGTTTCAGGTTCACCGTCCAGGGTTCTACGTCAACTGTGGGCTCCAGAAGTGGGCAACGGAACGATAACTTCCATTCGAGGTCGAGGCATTCTGCCTTATTCAAGATGGTCATTCCCTTCTGATCCTTGATGGTTTCGCCCACAGGAAGTTATCCCAGCACTATGCAGATAACTGGCTATCTCGTTCCAATGTGAGTTGACATCTGGTGCAGCACTTGGAGGAGACTAGAAGGTGACTCTGGCAAGTTCGTCTAAAGTCCGGATCTATCAGAATCTGTTTCCAAGCGTTTTACCGCACCTTACACGGCCCTGGAAATCGCAGGGAGAAGCGACTCCGGACGAATGCGAGGTCAGATTCCACAAATATGTTCCAAAACTAGCGACAGTCAGGTGTTGATCTGCGCCATCGGTAACTGATGGCAATTTGATCGATTTCAGTCCATGACCGGCACGCCGTTGAAGGACACCATAAGGCCAGACGACTTCGGCTATTTCGGAAGTTAGTACTGCATAAAAACAGCTTGTGGTCAGCACACCGCTGAAGCAATCGTTCACCATTCTCCGTACGTATCTGGTCCAATCCACGTCGACCACCTAATTGAGTCTCAGATGTACTAAGCCTGCCCACTTGCGCATTCAACCTCCAGCAATCACCACGATGTCTGAGCTTCTGGCTCGCCGCAACAGGGCATTTAGGGTGTCATAAAGCCTGTCTTTGACGGCGTCGGAGCTACAGTCACTTGAGGCATATGAAGGCACGACAACAGACATCGACAAATTTCCCTATTTGTGGAACTCCTTCAAGACGTTGCCAGACGAACTGCACATAGGTCACTACTAACAGGTATCTAGTCATGCAAGGGTACTTCCGCTCGGTGACTTAGGACGATACAAACCCCTGCATATCCCGCCGCTGCAGCATCTGGGTCACCATAATTGCGTAGCCGGAAGCGAGTGAAGACTGATGAATACCTCAACCTCCGTGCTTTCATCTTAAATTCCTGTTTCCGAGACACAGCACACACCAATGCCAAGCGAGTCCAGTGTGAGAGCAATAGCAGCTGGTTGTGCTGCTTGCTTCAGAGTACCGACATTGAAGGCGGCCAGATAGACTGGGCATCGGGGCTTGAGTATTGATTTCGATATGCCTGAGGATGGGGCGCCGGATGACTCGCAGGTGTTGCTTTCAAAACCATTGCAGAACGGACGGAGTCATCAGTCCTAAGTGCTGGGCTTAGAAAGATAGAGCTATTAATGGAGTGGGGAGAGGGGGAAGAAAAAGTATGTGAAAGAGAAAGGAGGCATTACCGGTAGCATGGTTTCGCTTACCCGCCCTGCCGTATTCAGCGACCCGGCTGATGTCACCACGCGAAGACCGTTGTGGCATGAGTTTATTTGTGTAAGTCCATTTCATGGTTGGAATACTACCAGGGCGCTCTCAATAAGACATGAAAATGATTATGGTCCTCAACCAAAGCCTTTGGTCCAAAAGCCTGATTGGAAGGCAGTGGTGTTTGGCTGGAAATCTAAGTACATTACAATTTTTATGGGGCATATCGCCACACATGTTCCAACCCCCAACCTGGAGGACCAGGAGACTGCGTACTTCAGACCTCTAACCATTGACCAACCTGGTAGGGGAGACTCTATAACCATTGACCAACCTGGTAGGGGAGACTATGAGTGTTGCGCGGACGCCCCCCAGTATAGCTCAATGGGCCGCCGAGGTACACAAACTGTCACAACACGGTTAGGTTGTCTCTTCAAAACCCGTGATCTCAAGTCTTTGGTACCGAGAACCTTGAGACATGCATGTATTTCCGGGCTTTGATGACAAATAGCTAAGCTAACCATTATCAACCCATCCTTTGGCGTGCAGCTGGAATCTTACAAGGTGCAAATTCATGTCTCCAGATTTTGCACTTCTTGAATATACCTCGTCAGCTAACCACAAACATCGAGGGTAGTGGGGAGTTTCACATTTCCCATTAGACTCCGCGGAATCCTAGTGATCTGAATTACATTCGCCAATTCGCACCAACTGCGATGTCGAAAAGCATATCAGTGGACCAAGCATGTACCGGCTACAGTAGGGACTGTTGTATAGCTGCGAGCCAAGACGTGTGGGAACGGAAGACTTGAAGCGTCTTCAGGTTCTTCAACACTGTTGCTGCTGGACAGTGTCACCAAATTGGTAGAGTCAATGAAAAACGATGTTTGGTGTTGTAGCAAGTGACTCGCCACGAAAAAACATCCAGCACCGTAAACCTCGGTGGCTAGGTCATACGCTGCGCACACCGACACCGCTTACCGGGAAGGGTGGCGTTCAGGGTGGTGTCTCTATGACCCTACCTGAATTTGACCGGAGATGTTATCGACTTGGCGGCCGGCCCATATCACTACCACTCGTATTGTCAGCGAGTATTGTAATGAGTGACCGAGCGGAAGCGTCTGCTTGATTGGATGCCCGTTGATAGTCGTCTCTGTGCGGCTTGTTTGGCAACATATGTGAGAGAATTTAGAGGAAGTGGAGTTCATTGCACCTTAGTTGTGTCCGCTTATGCCACAAGTGACTGCAGCTCTGAATTTGCCAAGGACAGTTTCTATGACGCTCTAGGTGCCCTTCTACAGCAGACTAAAAGCTCAGATATCGTTGTGGTTGCTGGTGATATGAACGCCCAGGTAGGTAGACTAAGCGCTGCTGAGGCCCGATTGGGCGGTCGTCTTGGTTTGGACACGAGTCGTACAGACAACGGAGACCGATCACAGACTGTTCCCTTGCAGTACGAATTTCCGGAACAGCGAAAATCGCTTGACAACGTGGTGCCCACCAACAAACCGGCCCCTAATCTAAGTAGACCAGATCGCCGTCAGTTATCAGTGGCGACGGTTGATCACCGCCTGCCGCTCCTTCTGGAACAGCAGCGTTGACTCCGAGCATGCACTTGTACGCTGCTGCTTTTCATTGCGCTTCCCAGGTGTACGCAAAACGCGCACCTCGCTTAGCCAGTGAAGAGCTGGTGGACCCAGAAGTCAAACGAAACTATCAGAATCAGCTCCTCGAACGTCTACCGGACGGTGTGATGTCGGATATAAACGGCCACTGGGAAAATATACCCAAAGCACTACTCAAAGCCGGAACGTCTCTTTGCTACATTTCAGCCAACCTCATCTCTGATAGAACCGTGTCTTTGCTGGAGACCCGGCGACAGATCCCTCCTGGCCGTAATCACAACTCCACTCCTGCTTCAGAACGTTCAGTCTGCCAACATGTCCCTTACAATTCAAAGAGAATCATTGGTGATTGTGGAAAACTTTACATACCTTGGTAGTTGTATTAGCTGTGACGGAAATGTGTCTGATGAAGTTTGCTAATTTGCGGCACTCGTGGTGCCAAAAAGACATCTCACTAAATCCTAAGGGTTGTACCAGGCTACAGTAAGGGCTGCGTTGATATATGGGTACGAGACGTGGCCTGTTTGGACAGATGATGTGAGGCATCTGCAGGTGTCTGACGACCAATGCCTCAGATGCGTTTCGAGTGGCGTCAGTGTGTTAGTAACGAGGTGATCAGAGAACAGGTGTTTGGTTGCACGGCAGGTACTTCAATAGAAAAAAAACATCCAGCCCCACCGACTACGATGGCTCGGTCATGTGCTACGCACGCCGAAACACCGTCTACTGAGACGAGTGTTGTTGTCCAAGTCTCCTTCAGAATGGCGCAAACCGCGAGATGAACAACGCATGACTTGACACAAGGGCGTGAAGGAGATCACGAAAAGTTTGGGTGTTGTTGGTGTTGTACGACTTCCAGGATGGGGTCCCCATGACTCCACTTGTGCTTGGCTGGAGACGTTGCAAGAAATGGTGGCTAATCCATGTCAGTGGTGTTAGTGCTGTCAGCTTTCTTCCAGACTGTCTGCGGTCCCCATGACTCCACTTGTGCTTGGCTGGAGACGTTGCAAGAAATGGTGGCTAATCCATGTCAGTGGTGTTCGTGCTGTCAGCTTTCTTCCAGATTGTCTGCCAGAACGCTTGACATAGGCCAGCACTAGGTCCCTTCCCTCACCCACTCTTTTCTCTTCTTTTCACTCTAGGGCTTCAAATATAGTCAGATCAACCCTATAGTTGTACGGCAGTGAAGCATCACTGTTAACTCTGATGTTGCTGTCTTTGATGATGATGAATTAAAAAACGAACGAGCTCTTCACTAATGAGTTGTGAGTGTCGTGGTTCCTGCTGGAGACGATAGAGTTTGAGACTTTTGGACTTCGGTGATTTTTTTGTTTCATCCATTGGCTGAAAGATGAATTTCACGAACTCGAGTCGGCATAGTCCTTGAGGCTTGAGAGCAGTCCATTCTGAAGGAACAGCTACAAGCTACGGAAAAATATTCCAAAGCCGGAGAATCCTTCCTCGTCGTCAAAGTCATATGTCGAGATTGAAATTCTTAAAATAAATCTTGCAGTGAAGTGAAGAACTACCGACGAACCGCAAATGCTCTATTGATGGCTTAGCTAATATGTTCTGGGCAATGCTAGGTAAACCACCGTTCTCCGTATCACTTGGACTAAATTAGAAAAGAAAAATAGTCATTACTGAAAACAGACTAGTGACCATTAGTTCGTTGAGTTCATAATAATATAGATAATGGGGATTAGGTTATTGGAATACTCATGTCTTTCGAAAGTCGGGTCTTTGTCTAAACCTAAGAGGTGATCACAAATCCAGGGCCGATGTGCTCCACTCACCTGCAATAAGAATCTCCAGGTTGTCGCACTCTGGTCCAAATGGCAGTAATGAACGCAGCTCAGTGTAGATGCGACCGGCCAGACCTGGAAGAGTGGCGAGCCCACCAGTGAGGAAAAGTCGACGAGGCCAGAACGATTTCGGTTCCGCTTGTGGGGCGCTACCGTAGTGTTGGGCGACACCACGTAGAACAAATCCGAAGCATTCACCAAGTCCAGCTTCTGAAGTACCCATGAAACTCGGCTGGAAGATAACTTCGCACGCCCTGAGAAAGTACAGAAAAGAAGCGGAGCTTGAAAATTCCGTATTTAATGACGGGCATTTGAAATTTCGGCTAACTTGAGTTAATTTGTCGATCCCTGTGCCCAAGCAACAAATCACTTAGGAGAATCGAGCCTGTGACCTTCCGAAAGTGATCTGAACACTGCCGTTTCGCTACGGGTGAAAGGAAGGAGGCCTTCGCTGCGGAGTTATTTATTGGAAAACACCAACTGAACAGTTAAAGACTATTGGACAGGGAAGCATAACTCTCATGTGCATCTCGTTTATAAAAACTGAATACCCATCTTCTTCTCAAACGCGCCTTCCTGAACTTTCCTGGATACTCATTGACTATCACCCAAATGTAGACAAATGCTACAAAGCAATTCCACAAATTCTGCAATAAATCTCACTTTTCAGTAGACACGAAGCGGATTTACGAGAAAGCATACTACTCGCAAGCCTCATCAGTAGCATCCACCGTTACACGGGTAACCACTAAGCAACGTAATGCAATCACACGGCTTCCAGCTTCCAAGCACGGGTGAACTTACATTTGAAACGAAGTGAACTATCATTCACATAAGCGACGAGCTGATACATGCTGTCCTGAAATCTGCTGTTCGTTAATCGCAAAGTTGCGGGCACTTACTCAAACAGTTTCGATTTTTATTCTGGCTTGCGATTCCTATACTCATCGTTGGCTGACAGCTCCACCCACTCCGGTATACTGGAAGGCACGGCCTGTAATAGTTACCACAAATATTCCACAAGATCGAACTGAAATCTTCAAGTCGGAGCGAGAAATGCCAAGCTAAAAAAGCCCGATTTTTTATGCCTTGTTTTGCTGGTTCGCCACACATCCGTTCAGCCGACTTAATGTATGTTTATTTCTAAACCTCACCTTGGAACGATTCCGGAAAATTTTGTCTTATATAACGCGAGTGTACCTTCCTTTATAGCTTTGGAGAGGCTGGTATATTTAAAAAACGCGTACTTTAATATATAAATGCGAGACTTGAAAACCAAGGATGCATATGCGTGGTTCGTCTGCAAATCAGTATCGCTGAACAGTACTCACGCTTTAATGCATTAGTTATCTGGAAACACACCGGTTATGTAGCTAGAGCTTTGAAAATGGCTGACAGCAGATCCATGGCTAATTGAAAAGATGGCTGAAGGTACATTGGATAAGCCCTGCCAATATGTATCGAAAGGCTTCGCCTGTACAGTCACTTGGCACTACTTCTCAGAGTAGCATGTCAATACTTTAGTATCCTTTCAGGACTGCTTAGAAAGTACAATGACTGTATAGAGCGTTCGCTACACCTTTTATCCGAGACAATCGCTCTGATTGATAACCGCAAGTGAAGTAATACCATACTACCTCGATTGCCAAATTTTACAACCCGTATAAGCTACCAGCAATGGCCCAAAGGTGCAGGTCTAATGACACACGAAGTCCCCAAAAAATGACTATTACAAAGCTCGAAAGCTTTTTCCTTTTGAACACGGAAAACTGATATGAGGTTGTTGACAAACAACTGAACTGGAAGATGACGTTCTGAGACGACTGTAGACTTTTCCTCCAAACGGAAATGGGTAACATCTCTACGTGAGTAAGTCCCATATTGTGGATGGGAGGCAGAATGCATTCAGGTTGGTAAAATGTGAATACATGCTGGGATATAGGCACTGTACACAGCGGTTCAGTGATTTAGCGAGACGATTGTCGTTTCGCCCAGCCTTTATGCTTGGAGTGAAAACACCATTCGTGTGGGCCCTAAGATTTCCTTGTGGGCAAAGGCATGCAGCGTGTAATGGTCACCCACTAATCGGTAATCTCATTCAACAAAAATGATAATGATTCGGAGCAGGTGTGTCTGGTTGGAGCAAAGTTTCCGCAGTTTGTGTCAACCCACTTATTGCGGAGCAAAGTAAGTCCATCTGAAAAGATGCACCAAAATTGCATTGCTACTCAGGATGAGTGTGATTGACAGGTACTGATGCGCGGATGCTCCGAGGAGACCTAGCTATTAAGTGCTAGGGGAATGGTGGATTCTACCAAATCCGCCGAATGCAAAAGCGCATCACAGAACATGTTAAAAATTCTTAAAATCAGAGGGCATCTTCATTTGTGACATTTGATAGGACAAATATTGATAGATACAATTGCCTCTGTCTCCCTATTCTGGAATCCCTTGGTGCTTCAGGGCACTGAGTATGCATGTCTCCAAAGGCATCCTTTCGGTGCCTAGCTGTCATGCCACCCGAAGGAGGCACGAGGGCTGGGGTACTGCCAGTCTGCCCAAACCTGGAGAAGAGAAGTAGAGATGCAGAGGTTGGGCTCGAAATACAGACTTTCCAATCAGTAAATTCGCGCTCTAACCACTGAGTCATCTCACCCCCCAAGAGTGGCACGAATTATGAGATGGTTGGTGGATGGGAGTATGAAAAGTTTGAGTGCTGTCGCCACGATGCACCTTCGATAATAGTCTCTGTCGCCCTGCGCCTGGCTGAAGTTCTTGCACGACATGGCCGCGAACCGATTTCAACAGCGCTCAATCCATTCTTATGCAGACCTTCTGAATGAATGACTGGAAATGAAGACACCCTAAGTTCGTTTCTCGTTTCTCGCGTTCGGCTCTATTCATTAAAGGGTTTTATTGGTGCTGATAAACTCTATGTGGATAGATCAGTGGTTAAAGCGGCAGCTTAAAGACCGCAAAGTCTGTGGTTCGAATCCACCTTCGGCATCTCAACTATCTTGTCGA